ATTAGAGTCGCTAGTCATCTCCTTGTGAGATGCAATTTGTCGTTATTTGAAGCCCCACCCTGGCTCTTGCCAGGGGCCGCAATATAACCCAGCCATAAGTATGGCCTAATGGCTGAACGCGCTTTCCGAAACCTCTCGACGGGTGATCGTCATCCACATGATGGCACTTTGTTTTATCGGGTGTTTATCGCTTGTGTTATGTTTTAGTGGGGTAAAATGTACTACCATTACTGATATCAGATAGAGTACGTTTAGTCAAACTTCATGGCAGACCGTTTGAAATCAACTTAGTACAGACTTATGCCAAAACAACAAATAGTTCAGAAGAAGAAATTAACGCATTTTATGACGTGTTTGATATGGCTGTTAATCATTGCATAAATTGTGAAGTAACAATGGTGCTTGGACATTTCAACGCGAAAATAGGGAGTGGAAAAGTGAACGGAATAACGGGTGGCTATGGCCTAGGAGAAAAGAATGTAAGATCAGACAGATTAATAGCATGGGTTGAGTCGCACAGCATGAAAATAGGTAACACCTGGTTTAAACATCATCTTTGAAGATTGTGGACTTGGAAAAATCCTGACGATAATCTTCGCAATCAGACTGATTATATTTTAAGTTCCATAAGATTCCGAAGCAGCTTAGTTGGAGCAAAGACTAGACTAGGAGCAGACTGTTTTAGCGATCGTGTTCCAGTTATAGGAAAGATTAGAATAAAACTAAAAAATATCAAGAAAACGAAACAGAACATCAAGTTAAATTTAGGAATACTTAGAATGGACAAAGAAATTAAGGTACAGTACAAAACCGGTATAATGCGATGGAAATTATACAGACTATTGATGAACAGTGGGATATGTTGCGGAGCTAATTCAGCAGACATCAAAAGAGACAATCCTACCAACCCATAGAGTTGCAAAAAAGAAATGGATGTCAACCGAAATTCTGCAGTTAATGGATGAAAGAAGAGAAGAAAGAAAAGGAATGACAAAGAAGAAAACTATAGAATACAAAAAGAAATATTAAAAGAAAAATGCAAAGTAGCTAAAGAAGCCTGGCTGAATCAAATGTGTACAGAGGTTAAAGAAAATCACAGGAAAGACTCACATTCCATGTACCAACAGTTAAATATGTTAACAGGAAAGATGATACGTAACAATACTGGATGTTTAAAATCAAATGATGGTGACGTAATAATGGGACATAGTAATATAATTAACAGATGGAAAGAGTATATAGGGGAATTGTATGTTGATAATATACCAAATGTAGAATTGCAGGCCAACATTGATGGTTCACCAATAATGACTGCAGAAGTTAAGGATGCATTGCATCATTTGAAAAAAAGATAAAGCACCTGGGCCAGATAACATCTCACTGGAAGAAATCGAAGCATTGGCAGATTTTAGAATTGAAATAACAATTACACTTTTAAATGACATTTAAAATAGTGGGAACATTCCAAATGACTTAAAATCCATATTTTTAGCTCTACCAAAGAAACCAGGCACTTTAAAATGTGAAGACCATCGCACAATAAGGCTTATGATTTGTAGAAGGAAAAGGTACAAACAATGCATGTATACATTCTGAGTATATTGTCAGAAATAACTATAGAAGTAAAGACTAATTTGCACTCATGCAAACTGCAGCTATAAGAATTAACAACTGTTTAGGTACATTTCAGTGTATAAGGAGGGACGTACGACAAGGATGTGTACTGTCACCTGAAATGAATCTTTTTGTCTATTTTCTGGAATAATAAATCGAATTGTCAAGTTAGACTGTACATCTTCCCACCGAGAATTTAAGATCAGTCACGTAATTACCACGGTAGCTTCAAATTTATCACGTGATCTTTTTGTTTGTTCAAAAACAGTAATTGCAAATTAGGGCCAGTACGAGGAGCGTAAGACATGATAGTTCAATAAATTGTAAGTACTCATGTTTCAACCATTTTCCCCTTTTCTTTCCAGTACGGACAAATCCATTGCGTCATCAGAGAACTGGTACAGACCAAATTTGGAAACGAGGCTTGGGAGACAATTCTGTAAGTTATTGTAGTTTTCACCTGATCCATACTGTGTTGCTTATTATTACTATAATCAGAGGGCTGCTTGGTCTCGAGGCATGGCGTCCGCCCCGAGTGTTGGGTAGTATGATCTGATGTCCGTGTGTATTGTTGCGCACGTAAAAAAAATCTCTTGGCAGCTAGAAATCGAAAAGAGTAGCCTAACGGCGCTGTCCGGGGAAAATTTGAAGTTAGAAATCTACACAAAGAATTTCAGGACCTCGCTGGTGATACAGAGTTCGTGCAATGTGTTGAAATTCCTCTGACTGAGGCTTGAGGTATAAATAGAACGGAGCACTTGTGGGTTATACCTTGTGCTATGACGTTCATTAGTTGTATAAACATAAACATACCATTATCAGTCTAATGTTTGTTTCTACTGTATGTGTGTCTGTGAGTTAGTAACTGTTTACGTCTCCTTGTGACAACAGGGTCAATATGTTATTCCTTTCCATGTTACGGTCCATGGCAAGCAGATCCTTCAATCCCTTCTGTCTTCAGGAATTGTTTTTTTAAACCAGTCCAAGTCCACGAAAGAAATAAAAAAAATCGACCATGTTGAATCTGCTGCTAGCCAGCCGAAACCGCCAATGGTCTCTGGTAATATTATTTTGATATAAAAACATCTGGTATTAAATATTATATGACCGGCTCGCTAGCGTAGTTGGCTAAACCGGATTGCGCGGTGACAGGGTGACGAACTCCTTGTGGTCCGGGTTCACGCCCTGGGGTAAGCAGAAAAGCCACATTTTCTCCGAGATTTACGGTATTTATCATGGGATCAAACATGGACACTGTCTAAATGCCATATTTGCAAAATTACCAGCTGCGAGATGAGATGCCTGAGAAAAGCAGCCAGCCTAACCACCATCCGAGATCGAGTGAATAATGAAACTATCAGGCAAATTGTGGGGAGAACACCTTGTACTAGATTCATTGAGAAACAGCGGATCAAGTGGTTTGGCCATCTCGTTAGAATGCAGCAATATCAAATACCATCACAAGCACTACATCTCCGAAGATCAACTACAAGAGCAAGAGGGCGGCCACGGAAAATATGTATCGACAACATTAAAGACACTCTACGCCTTCACGGCATGACAATAGCCAGTTGCAGCCAACGTGCACTGGATCGCAAATTATTTCTCCCCACGGCGCTTAACTGCAGAAGTGGTTTATGATGATGATGATGATGATCATGGAATCAAGGCCGAAAGGTTGCGATATCCATAATACCAAGCCTAAGGGTTAACAACTCATGGCTTCTGGATACTAAAAAAAAATTTTTTATATTATCCCTTTCAACGTCCTTGCACACTGGACATTCCTGTGCGGGTTCAGTCCTCCGGTTTAGCAGCCTCCATAACTTACCTCTAGTGGCAGTTTCCTTGAAACGTTGGTAATAATCTCGCCTATAGACTCTAGAGCGGCGTCCGTGGCTTAGGCGTTGCGAGTCCGAGTCGTAATTCCAACGTACCGCGATCGAAACCTACTGCTGGCTGTGTGGATTTTTATCATGGTATGGGGCGTGGCAGGTCGACCAAGCCTAAAATAGGTACCAGGATGGGCTGTCCTGGGAAAGTAAAGACGGCCGGCGTAATGCTGACCACATTACCAACCGAGTGCTGATGGTTTGTCAAAATATGGGCGCTCTTCCCATATGCCCGATATGCGTAAAGGCGTAAAAAGGGATCTTTACTTTACTTACTTTACTTTATAGACTATAGAATAATGCAGAGTGTTTGCAAAGGCTTACTTTCCACAATTTGTGTGCAGAACAAATATGAAGAAAGAAGTACAAGACGTAATGACATTTTTTTTCTTAAAATGTCATAAAAGTATTACAATACTTACTGCTACGGCCTAACGCTGTTTTGGGGAAAAGCTGGAAAGTACTTATGAAATATTCATTATACCACTTATTGGGTATGTCGACTCCTGGCTTCAGGACATGAATGTACTCCTGCCTTCACGTTGTCAGTTAACTTCTGCAGCACGCCTGTTTTTTTCTGAATGGTAATTCTAACTGCTTTTTTTTTTTCTGGTCTTAGTTATGTGTACATTATTTTTGTAAACATTTTCTTTCAAGAAATTAATTCAACAAATTTCTAACCGTATTGCAACGACGGGTTGTTTATCAGGAAATCTTCTTAGAAAAGTCTTTGATCAACGATCCGTGTGTATCGACCGCCATTTCCAAACACTTGTTGAACCATACGAAAAATTATTTCTACCGTTGATAACACTATTATGTTTTGAGTACAGAGGATTACTCCAGCATACGATAGCTATTCACGGTATATTGCTTCACGATTGACTGTGAAGAATATTTTTTGATGACGTCATGTTTTTCTTTTTTTTTCTTTCTCAAATTCGTTATGCACACAAAATGTAGTGAGGCTCTACGAATACCCTTGCATTTATGTGACAAAAGTAGTCGAAGAAACAACTGGGTTAGAATATGTTAACGTCAGACTTAGCAAGATGCTCGCCTACCGATCCGAAGGTCGTGCGTTCAGGTCCTGGCGGAGCCGGACAATTTTTCAGAAATGACCTTGGCTCCCATGTCGACCCAGCCTCACATTATGAATAAGAGATAAAATCCTGAGAAGTAAAGGCGTCTGGCGTGATGTTGACCACATTACCTACCGAGTGTCGATTGGTCAATAAACAGTCTAGCCCTATATGCCCAACACTCCTGAAGTCGTGGAAAATTCTCCTTTTTTTTTTTTTATTTGACTTCCTTGAATTTATCCAATAAAAAAAAATAAAAAGACGATGCGGGTTTAAACCCGAGCTTTTCTGTCCGTAAATGAATGCTGACTTTGGCTTCCATGCTTGTATATTATAGAGATAAATAGTCTTTCAGTTGTATATGCAAGAAAATATATAATAGTTATTGCTACCATTCTAAGTCATGTATAACATGTTTTCTTTGAACAGCCGGAAGTCACAGCTGGACGAACACACGAGCTTCCTCATGTTCACGCGATATGAGGACACAAGCACTTTCAACCTAGTCGGGGCAGTCTCCGAAACGTTGGGTAGGTATTCTTCGCCTGGATTGCAGTCTATAAGTTTAGCTTCCGATGGCTCTAGAAATCACTACTGGATGACATTCCACAGGTCAATCCCAAAATCTGGTTGTACCCTATAACACTTGTTCTATTAGGGTACTCTTCGGTTTGTAGTAGGCGTCTGTGGCTTAGGGCTTATAACGCGCATTGTAATTCCAAGGTACCTGGTTAAATTCCAGCTAGTGTTGATTTGGACACAGGTATGGAAAGCGACCGTTTGGTACGAAATGACAAACTACTAAACCTAACATTTCCTTTAGTCCATTCCAAAAGCTGTGCCCAAATTAAAAAAATCAGTATAATTCAGTAGCCATTCGGAAAATACTGTTGAAATTTGGCAAACAAGCTGTTAATAACTATGTCTCTGTGGGAAAATATTTATAATTATCATATAAACAGACATCCAGTTTTTCATCTACCTTATTTATGGTGTATGAAAATAGATGACGCCGATTCATAACATACCATTAACGTGTTCACAGTAAATGGAGAGGTGCGAATTTTGCAAAAATATCAGACTGCTCATGTTTTGGTGATAATCTGTGCCTGGTAACGACCAAATACATTACTGGAGCAACAGAAGAATGAACCGAAAGATTCACTAGAAAACATTAGTCGCCACATGTGTTGTGACAAGGGACTCTCCGTGTCAGGAACGAAGCCAAACTACACACTGAGTAAAAACAGCAAATACCTACCTCCTTGAAAGTCAATGCCGACATTCAAAGACATAAAGAATCACCATCAGATAAACGTCTCTGGCAACATATCTAATGGAACCACAAGAAACCAAATCCGAACACGTACTTCACAATAAAGATCGCTATTATAAGCAAAGATCCTAGGAGCTTAAATATGTGAATGCGATCGAATTTATTTTTTTCGTTCTTCAAAAGACAAGACTCAGACGATGTTCCGCATCTAGTCATCCTTAAGTTACCTCTTTCCCGAGCTCTAACGTGTCAATAAGCGTTCTTATCTCACTCAAGTTATATGACCAGGCTATTGAGGTATTATCTATCTGACTTCCATTGCTCCTTTGCCGTCAATCGTGTCAGTTGTCGCTAATTTTCGAGTTTTTCCAATTACATAATGTGTCCCCCTAAAAAGTTACATGTCTACATTTAAAATCGCTAATCATTCTATCTGTCAAATCTGGATTCATCATGGCATAGATGGCAGTAACCAAGCTGTCGGGGCTGACATAACCAGTATCACAACAATGTGGTCCTCTGTGTCCGCCGTCCGGGAATGTGACACTATGGCACACAACTATCTGTTGCTGCTCTCAACCAGACTGTACAACCTGCACTCACAATTTGACTTTTCTCTGATATAGGGCTGGAAAAACATAGAGCGGGGGGGGGGGGGGTAAAAAAATGTAGTTCAACTTGCCTAGATATGCGCCCCCCCCCCCCACCCCACAAAAGACAGCACAAGTAAGGTGCACTTACGTCTGTTTTGATACGAAATAATTGTGGATCTCAGTGGCGAAGTGATCGGGCCATTCGCCTGGCACCCTGAAGGGAGTTTTCTTTTTACGCGTGCAACTTTTACGCAGATCCCTGGGGATCGTCACCATATCTGCGGAATTTGTACTTTTTTTTTTTTTTTGCGACGCACTTGGCAGGCGGTTAGCCGTTCAACGAAGAGAGGGTCCTATTAGATTAACCAGGTGCAATGAAGTCGAACCTCTCGACTGTAAACTTGGGATTTAACCTTGCCACGCTAGCCGCGATGATAAAATCGTCTGTGTTCTTGCCTGTTAAAACAAAGGTCTGGATTTAGTAATCCGAAACAAGACAGGATTTAGTCAGACTAGTATCACTCTAAGGTGAGCAAGCCTAATGTAACTGGGGACAGAAAGGTGTCATGAAAGGGAACTGGCCAACCGCTTCACATGTCATTGCCTAGAATATGCGGAGGCCTAACTCTTAACATCATGACGACAGCATCTACCATCGGGCTACATCTACTTCACATGATATCTTGACGGGTAGAAGGTGTCGGCGTTACTTTCTGCTATTGTATAATGATGTGTGCAAGCGGGGCATAAATGATACAGGTGTTGCGACAGAATCGTTGCAGTAGGATACCATAGACCGTGCTACGCAGAGAGCGAAATCAGAAGTGAATGTGGATACAGGAGACAACGCTTGCTAATATGATAGGTGCTGTGTCCCTGAGAAGATGCACGATAAAACTGTGAAAGTAACAATGGTCCTAAAATACCATATCTAATTGTAGAAGACTTGTTAACGCTAGTGGGTCTTGCTTGCCACTCTCGCCCTCCTCATGGGTTGTGATTCCTGCTCCTCTCTATGGCAAAATATCAAATTATTTTCTGGAAAGACCGAAAGATGCCAACCATTAAGGTATTTTTAAATAAAACAATGATGTTTGCACAAAATAAAGACTGCATTACGTGTCTCTTGACTTTGCAGGAGTGCCTGTCGAAGCCGTTCTGGAAATCTTTGGCGAGTTCTTCTTTGACTACTGTCTGCGGCACGGCTACGACAAGATGTTGCGTACACTCGGCAGTGACATCAAGAGCTTTATACAGAACCTGGACTCTCTACATTCTCTTCTGGCCTTAAGTTACAAGGGGATATCAGCCCCGTCATTCAGGTGAGCATGTGTCCACGTGTGTCGTCGGCCCCGTCATTCAGGTGAGCATGTGTCCACGTGTGTCGGCAGTTTGTCCAAGACTTTGACACGAGAACTGTAGTGGCAAAATACTTTGTTATGTTATATTATGTCATATCATGTATTATTATGTTACGTTATCACAGTCGACGTACCTGCACAATGGGCATCCCCATACGTGCTCAGTCTTCCAATGTCTGAGGTCCGTGTACTGATACTGAATATTCTCTTAAGCTAGTGGTTATAATTTCTCCTAACCTGACCCCCAAAGCCGCATAGACGTGGTCCACCATGCTTTACTCTCAGATCACGCAATCGTATTAGTGTCAGAGATTCATCATCATCCACTAACCATGTCCCTAAAGAATTGATGATATTGTGAAACTCTTAGCGAACACGCCAACGAATACAAGGGAGATTACCAAGTATCGTATTCAGCCCATTTGATTTCGTTCAATAATACCAAAGACACACTTGAGGTTTGAAGCTACACCAACCATGTCCTAATGCGTGATAGCCAGAACTGAACATAGATAATTATTTCACTATGGACAGGTTTACTGATTATTATAATTTCGAAACAAAAGCAATCTACACGATCCAAGAAGTTGCTCATGGAATATACAATCTGAGAAATCTCACAGATTGTGCTGTTGATGATTGCATTTATTGGTGCAGTGTATGTCTAGGAGAAAGAAAAGGAAGCAGAATAATAATAATTATAATAGAAGAAGAAGAAAAAGAAGAAGAAGAAGAAGAAGAAGAAGAAGAAGAAGAAGAAGAAGAAGAAGAAGAAGAAGAAGAAGAAGAAGAAGAAGAAGAAGAAGAAGAAGAAGAAGAAGAAGAAGAAGAAGAAGAAGAAGAAGAAGAAGAGAAAGAAGAAGAAAAGAAGAAGAAGAAGAAGAAGAAGAAGAAGAAGAAGAAGAAGAAGAAGAAGAAGAAGAAGAAGAAGAAGAAGAAGAAGAAGAAGAAGAAGAAGAAGAAGAAGAAGAAGAAGAAGAAGAAGAAGAAGAAGAAGAAGAAGAAGAAGAAGAAGAAGAAGAAGAAGAAGAAGAAGAAGAAGAAGAAGAAGCACGAGATGGAGACGAAAAGGGGGAAGGAGGAAGGAGAGGCAAGAGGAGGCGGTTTGAGATATTTATTGTCCACCTTTCTGATATTATCAAATTATTCAAAAACTCGTTATCATTTTCTATGTTATCATTAAATTATAACCTTACACACATTTAACAGCGGTTATATAACTCATCAACTTCGTGGCTGCTATCCATTACGTTAGTTAGTTAATGTGAAACAAATCAAAGACCCGGCAATTTCCCGGGTATTATTACAACATGGCATCCCTCTTGATTAAGGTCATTCATTGGCCATCTTGGCGCCATAATCTCTCTCATGATGAACTAAATATGATTCAGAGGCTGATGAATGCAACGACCTGATGCCCTGCCCTGTAGTTAAAGCTTGTGGGAAATTGATGAAATCTAGCAACTTGCCCCTCTGTGCTTCGTTAAACGATATCATGATTCCATTTTATCGTTCGTGGAATTTATGTTTCGGTTCTGCTGTGTATCATCACGGGGTTCTTTGATTAACAGATAGATTAGGCGGCACATTCTCTTCTTCTTCTGCCTTTCTATCCCAACTCACGCCAAGTCGTTCTATCCTTCGCAATTACATGGAGCTCACAGGGGTTCTCCATCTTTTTAACTTCATTCTCCAGCTCTCTTAGCCCTCTTCTCCATGTGATTTTTTGCCTTCCTTTATTCCTATGCCAACGTGGGTTCCAATGCAAAGACATTCTAGTTATGCTGTTCTCCTGGTTTGTCAGTGTGTGTCCTATCCAACGCCAGCGTCTTTTCCTCACCTTTTGGTCCCTGAAGCCTGTTTAGTTCTCTCCCAAAGTTCTACATTAGTTATTCTATCATACCATTCAATTTCCTCTATTCTGCACAGGCCCCAATTAAGGAATGCCTGTAATGTATTAGTAATTGCCTTGGTTGTTCTCCATGTTTCCGCCCCATACAATAGTACTGATTTGACATTAGAATTAAAAATTTTAGTTTAGCATTTCTTTTAATTTCTTTTGACCTCCACAAATTCCCTAGTGCTATGAAAGCCCCTCTTGCCTTTTGTATTCCTATTTTAATATCTCTATCAGTTCCTCCATCTTTATCTACATTACTGCCCAAAAAGGTGTACGACTCCACGTCTTGGAGTGGGGTGCCATTAAGAGAAACCACATTACTATTTGCCTGATTTTTTTTCTCATTATCTTTGTCTTTCCTTTATGGATTTTTAGACCGAGCTGCTGTGATCTCGCATTAAGTATATTTAATTTATCTTGTATCTGATTCCGTGAATGGGACAGAAGAGCAATATCATCAGCGAAGTCCAGATCATCAAGCTGTTTTGTAGGGGTCCACTGAATTCCATTCTTGGTGTTAGCAGTTACTGTTTTCATAATCCAGTCTATAGCCAGTAAAAATAAGAGAGGTGACAAAAAAAACATCCCCGTCGCACACCTGTTTTTATTTCAAATGCAACTGTTAGCTTTCCCTCATAAAGAACTCTACATTTCATGTCTTTATATGTTGCCTTTACTAAGTTAATAATTTTCCGTCGGATTCTATAGTGTCTCATCAATTTCCAGAGAGATTCCCTATCAAAGCTGTCAAATGCTTTTTCATAGTCTATAAATCCAATGTAAAGTGGTGAGTTCAGTTCAATGCTTTGCTCTATTATAATACGTAATGAAGCTATCTGGTCAGTACAGGATCTGCTTGACCGAAAACCTGCCTGTTCATCTCTTAGCTTTTTATCAATAGCATCTTAGCGGCACATTGCTCGTATAATAATGAATTCGCAGTTTTGAAATATGCTGAAATGCATTTCACCACCATGCGAATTATGTTTGCAAAAAGTGATAAAATACAAGAGGTTCATATTACTTTAATAATTCTAGCTTCATTGATAATATTAAACGTATCTGCATTTTTATTTCTATCATGTTCTCTCGTAGATGTCTCACATGAACATCCAGAGAAAGACAGCAAATAGAGAGGAGGTAGATACAGACATAAAGAGAAAGGGGAGTGAGACAGAAAGATAATAAAGAAATAGAGAGACATAAAGAGGGGAAAGGTAGAAAGAGGAGACAGGGTGAGAGTGTAAGAGAAAAAACACAGAGGCAGTGAGATATAACAAGGAGAGAGCAAACAGAGGGCTAGAGCGACGGGGTAAACTATGTTTAGAGAAGGGAAAAAGAGGGAAGAGAGAGCTAGAAAGACGGGGAAAACTATGTAAAGAGAAGGAAAAGAGAAAGAAGAGAGAGCTAGATAGACGGGGAAAACTATGTATAGAGAGGGGATAGAGAGAGAAGAGAGGGCTAGAAAGGCGGGGAAAACTATGTATAGAGAGGGGATAGAGAGAGAAGAAAGGGCTAGAAAGACGGGGAAAACTATGTATAGAGAGGGAAAGAGAGAAGAGAGAGGGCTAGAAAGGAGGGAAAAACTATGTAAAGAGAAGGAAAAGAGAGAGAAGAGAGATCTAGAAAGACGGGGAAAACTATGTATAGAGAGGGGAAAGAGAGAGAAGAGAGGGTTAGAAAGACGGGGGAAACTATGTATAAAGAGGGGAAAGAGAGAGAGAGAGAAGAGAGAGCTAGAGAGAAGGGGAAAACTATGTATAGAGAGAAGAGAGAGACGAGAGAGCAAGTGAGACGGGGGGGGGGTATTATAGAGAGGAGAAAGAGATAGAAGATAGAGATAGAGCGACGGGGAAACTTTGTAAGGAGAGGGGAAAGAGAGAGAAGAGTTAGCTAGAGAGACGGGGAAACTATGTATAGAGAGGGAAAAGAGAAAGAAGAGAGACGGGGAAACTATGTATAGAAAGGGAAAAGAGAAAGAAGAGAGACGGGGAAACTATGTATAGAAAGGGAAAAGAGAAAGAAGAGAGACGGGAAAACTATGTATAGAAAGGGAAAAGAGAAAGAAGAGAGACGGGGAAACTATGTATAGAAAGGGAAAAGAGAAAGAAGAGAGACCTAGACAGACGAGGAAAACTATGTATAGAGAGGAAAAGAGAAAGAAGAAAGACACAGAGAGTCGTGGAAAACTATTATAGAGAGGAAAAGAGAAAGAAGAGAGAGCTAGAAAGACGGGGAAAACTATGTATAGAGAGGAAAAGAGAAAGAAGAGAGAGCTAGAAAGACAAGACAGGGAAAATTATGTATAGAGAGGGAAAAGAGAAAGAAGAGAGACCTAGAGAGACGGAGAAAACTATGCAAAGAGAGGGAAAGAGAAAGAAGAGAGACATAGAAAGACGGGGAAAACTATGTATAGAGAGGGAAAAGAGAAAGAAGAGAGAGCTAGAGAGACAAGGAAAACTATGTAAAGAGAGGGAAAGAGAAATAAGAAAGCTAGAAAGACGGGAAAAACAATGTACAGAGAGGGGAAAGAGAGAGCTAGAGAGGCGGGGAAAACTATGAATAGAGAGGGAAAAGAGGGACCTAATAAGATGCAGATACATGAGAGAAGAGAGTGAAGGAGAAAAGAGGGAGAGAAGTCTTTCAGATTGAGTGAGATGGAGTGAGAGAAAGAGTGAATAACCTAACTAATGGACGCATTGTTTTTCAAATCTACAAAAAAAAAAAGAGGGGGGGGGGATAGAGAGAGAGAGAGAGAGAGAGAGAGAGAGAGAGAGAGAGAGAGATATATATTTATATATATATATATATAAGCAAATAGATACTGGCAGATATAGAGAAAAAAGGAGAAGAGGGGTGCTAGATAAATTGAAATACGCAACATTTTGCACACAAGTGATAACACAACTCACTAAAGAATTCAGTCAGTTCATTATTCAAGCGACCAATTCGTCCCATCCGGGCTTCCACCTGAAGGTCTACCATTTCATACTGGGATGTATTATTTTTTAAGTCCAGAAATCATGAGTTGTAAACCGTTTGGCTCGGATTATGGATATAGCATCCCTTCGGCCTTGATTCTATGATAGATACCGTAAATCTGGAACATAAGTGGCTTTTCTGCCTACCCCTGAGCGTCAACTCGGACCACAAGGAGTTTGTCACCCTGTCGCCGCATAGCTGGTTTAACCAACTAAGTTAACATGTCAGGGACTGAGATCTATAAATCTCATTAGGGATGGCAGACCAACAGTGAAGATCACAGATGCCCCGTTCAACCTAAAAAGAAGTTATAATTGAAGCGCCCTTATAACGGTTATATCAGCCAGGGGTAACTTGCAATCCTATGGCGGGAAGGAAGTAATATCGTACCATATTTACTGTATTAATAGTACTTGGAACAATTCAAACAATTAATGGTATGTTTTTACCAGATGTGAAGATGGACTTAATGGCGAACTGATACTCCACTACTACAGCGGACGTCCTGGTCTCTATCCTATTGTCAAAGGTATGGTGTGGTACTAATGATGCTACTGTGAACACCACGAGTTCATCATCATCAACGGTAAAGGTTAAATGTTAAAGGTCAGAGTATCGACTTCATTTCACCGGACTTTATCCTATTTGGCTCGTTCTCATTACGCAGAACGGCTAGCCATCTATCGAGAGCGTTACATATCGCATGAACCCCGTAGCTCCAGCGACGATCTCCATGGATCGCCATAAACAATACACTCGTAAACCGAACGACGCAGCCTGGACAAGACAAAAAGCTACTCCAACCTAATGCCTAGAACATAAAACTGTTGAAATGTAAGAACTGTACTATTCGCTAGAAAACACAAATTTATAATCCGTTTCAACAGTCGTGCCCAACTTAAAAATCTGTAACTCAATAACCGTTTGGTGTAAATTGTTGAAATTGTGTATGCAACCTGTTATTAATTATGTTCTTGTAGGAAAATAATTAAAATGCAGACAAACACTTTTTTTTTAAATCGTGGCAGATAAAAAAGACACTGATTTCAAGTATACACTTAGCATGTTTACGGTAAATGGTTCGGTAAGAAGTTGCCAAAACACCAGACTGCAAGCATTTATGAGGTAATCGTGAAAGTACCGAGTTAGATACGTCATGTACTGTCATAATGCTTGATGACTGGCTGATTCAAAGTACAAGACCTGTGTCAATTACTATATGTTTTTAGTGGCGCACAAGTTATTAGTCAGACAAAGATCAAGGAGGTTTGAGGTTTGAACAACGGATCAACATCATTGCACATGAGTGCTCCGTTCTTCCCAAGTCTGAGTCCGAAAAAGCTCAGCACAGTGCACAGTCTCTGTAGCACTGGCGAGGATCCTAAAATACTGTGGGTAGATTTTAAACTCCAAATCTTTGTCCGGGCAGCGTAGTTAGGCTACTCTTTTCGATTTCGAACTGCCAAGGGATTTTTTCTTATGTGCGCAACAATGCACACAGACGTCTGATCTCACTCCTAGAGACCAGGGGGAATTACTAGAAGTCCACGGTCAGGTGAAAAAATCCCAGCCCTTACCGGGGATTGAACCTGTAACCTCCAAGACTCGAGGCGGACACCATGCCTCGAGACAACGCTGCTCCCTAAAGATCAAGGAAACTGGCTGCTATAAAAGAACAACAGCACATGTGCAGTTGTAGGTAAGAAATCTTAAGGACATGGGAAGTCTACAGGCAAAATTTCTTGTTGATTCGTACATGGGTTTTCCAGATATTTGTTAACACAGGGAGGTACGGCTTTTCGAACGAACTATAGTTTCGTATCTTTACACGACGTTGCAGAACCAACCCATGCATGTTTTGGCTGTAGGGCTTTCAGTGGCCAGTTTTACGTTTAGCATTTTGTCATTTGCTTCTAAACAATCGGCTCTCGATGCCAGTGTCGAAACAAACGCAAGGCTGCCTGCTGCCAACTCGCTTGCAGCTGTGATCGAACCTGGCACTTTGGAATTATGAAGCGCGTTAGCAACAGCTAAGCCACATACAGCAAGAGAAAACACAACAGACGATTCTTTCAGTCAAACTGTTGTGGCGCCGACAAAGAAAATCAGATTGGATGCGCTTCGGGGTTGGCGTGGGAGAGGGATTGCTTGAAGTGAGCTCTCTTGACATTAGAAAGTCTAAGCCTAATTCAAGTGTGTAATAATAATAACAATAACAATTTCCTAAATGACAAAATAAAGTAATATATTCACAATAATAGAAAATGTACTAACACATACATAAAGTAATAGAACTAACATGGTTAGGAATATAGTCTAGCCACTTTACAAACTTCTCTAACCCTCCCTCAAGTGATCTAAGACCAGGTTATGGACGCCTAGGTCACACGGAAGTAAAGACTACTAATCCTATACAGTCACTGTCTTACCATCTGTACTTGCAGGGGTTCTCAAGGCGGTAGCTCGAGACCTCTTTGACCAGTCCGTAGAGATGACCGTTCTGGAGCAGAATAAAGAAGACATTGGGTGCAACCAGTCTCAGGAACACACTGCATTCAGGTAAACTAGCCATATGGGTTTCCTTTTCTCATATAAGATATTTGGTGCAACCAGCCACAAGAATGCACAAAATTCAGGAAAAATGGCAATCTTGACAGTATTTCTGTCATTTTCATACTAAAGAATTTCGAATTCACACATGCTGATGCAGATGACGATGAGTGTGAAGATGCAAGATAATTATATAGAAGCTGGATATAATTCACTGAGATACTGACTGAAAGCATTCTTATCAACTGTTTACAAATAAAAAATGTGGACGAAATGGATGGATCGGTTTCACTTTCACTCATCTCTTTTATGGTATTCGTTGTTTATCTACTAACTAATTTAATCAGTCTATTTTCTTGGCTTCTAAATTCGTTTGCATCTGTTACTGTTGACCACAGAGTCCTTCTCAGATCAGACAGCAAGATCAGTGTGAGAATCTCACCCAACGGAAGCAATTCTGAAATAAGAGAACTTGTCGAGTTTAACCCGGAGAAAATTCTTCTGAGAGCTACAGATTTCTGTTCAGCTTTTCCTTATCACATCATTTTCGACAGGGATCTCAGAATCAGGTAAGTCCTTAAAACATGATAAATAATATAGTTAACAATACAGTGTAATTAAAAACCTTTGGTACTGCTTTTATGTCAGAAAGATTTGAGGAAAACCATCGTGTATTCCATATCTCCCCCGCGTAAAATGCATCTTTTTCATGACTGAAGTTGAAACAGACCAGTTTTTTTTTTTTCAACTTCTTTCTATGCCAGCAGTATACAGTTTACAGTGTTGTAGTTCATGCTTAGCAATTTTTGGTACCAAGTTGCGTGAACGAGTTTCAGTGTTTCCTACACCAAAAACACTTGAACATAATTTGACCAAGTCAGTCTGTTGTACCTTGTCAAGAGTCTCAAATGGTACATAGACCCTCACTAGAGAGGCGAAGTTCGAATCTTGAAGAGAAAGTGTATGTGGACTATATGATTAATCTTTTTATGTTAAAGGGATTCATGTTTGCGCTTCAGAATATGTTGATCTAAAGTATGTTTGTGCCTGACAAGTCGGTAGTCATTTATCATGGTTCCAGCTTCACTGCAGACCGGTGTTCCTATAAATGATGCGTCCTTGTGCCAGTGGCGATCACCCAAAATGTCCTTAACTGTCCTATTTGAAAACTAGCGAAAAACGTATTATTTCCAACAGAATCTTGAGGCTCGCACACGCTAAGTAAATGCTTAAAGCAGTTATCAATGTACCAACACTAACAGACGCACACCAGAATTGCAACCCACTGTTGATGCAAGTAGTCAGTTACGAGATTCGGCATTGTGCACGTAATATTGCATAAGAACAAGCCATTCTGAATGTAATTTTTAGTGCAGTTTACAAAACAAAGCCTTGGCGGTCACGATAGAAAAAAATGCTACGTGAAATCAACAGCTTACAGTGTCGCACCAAGCACTCAGCTCATTAGCTAGGTGTCGGAAAATTTGGATTACCTCTCCAGAAATGAGGAATTTGCCTCAGCAAACTCTAGCTAGAAATAGAAAAACTTGACAAAACATCACCGCCAGGACAGCTGTCTGTCACATTAGACCGGAAATCTGACAAGATACAATGAAATTTGCCCGACAATAAATTGTACAGTACATTGACTGTGTCCCCACTATTTAAACTACTTGCAACCATGTCTTTCCCCTATCTGTAATAATAATAATTATTATTATCATTATTATTATTCCTCTTATTCGTTCGTTCCTTCGTTCGTTGACTTTCTATCAACTCCATTTCTGGACATTTCTCTTGTTCCAGAATTTGAATTTTCGTGCACATCAACATCTATTTTACAGGTCTGACAGTTTTACAGGCCTGACAGTTGTACAGACTGTTGGTTTCTCTCTTCTTGGGCAAATACACTCCGAATACGAAAGAAACACCTCTAATAGGTCGATTTTAGAACAGGATTGTTAGGAGATGCATTCTTTGTTAAGATATCTATTCTTTGTTAGGAGATCTAGTCTTTGTTCGGAGATCTATTCTTTGTTATGAGATCTATTCTTTGTTATGAGATCTATTCTTTGTTGTGAAATAATTCTTTGTTATGAGATCTATTCTTTGTAATGAGATCTATTCTTTGTAATGAGATCTATTCTTTGTTATGAGATCTATTCTTTGTAATGAGATCTATTCTTTGTAATGAGATCTATTCTTTGTTATGAGATCTATTCTTTGTTGTGAAATAATTCTTTGTTATGAGATCTATTCTTTGTTATGAGATCTATTCTTTGTTATGAGATCTATTCTTTGTTATGAGATCTATTCTTTGTAATGAGATCTATTCTTTGTTATGAGATCTATTCTTTTTTATGAGATCTATTCTTTGTTATGAGATCTATTTTTTGTTATGAGATCTATTCTTTGTTATGAGATCTATTCTTTGCTATGAGATCTATTCTTTGTTATGAGATCTATTCTTTGTTATGAGATCTATTCTTTGTTATGAGATCTATTCTTTGTTGTGAAATAATTCTTTGTTATGAGATCTATTCTTTGTTGTGAAATAATTCTTTGTTATGAGATCTATTCTTTGTTATGAGATCTATTCTTTGTTATGAGATCTATTCTTTGTAATGAGATCTATTCTTTGTTATGAGATCTATTCTTTGTTGTGAAATAATTCTTTGTTTTGAGATCTGTTCCTTGTTAGGAGATCTATTCTTTGTTAGGAGACCTATTCTCTCTTCTTCTACCCTCTCCCAAACAAATGGGTTCCTTGGACCCACCCCGAGGACCCTATCCCAGATGAATGGCATTGGTCACTGAACGTCCATGTAGTATCCTAGAACATGTGAAAAAAAAAGATCACTTCACACCTAGTGGCAGTAAACTGTTTTAGGACCACCAATTGAAGATTTCTTTTCCCAAATATATCTAGGGGGCAGATGCATAATGAATTAGTTTACCTAACTTGTCTAGGCAAATAGAGCATAATAATTTAGTTTGCCAAATTTGTCTAGGCAAATAGAGCATAATCAATGATGTTCACATCTTCCGTGTTTAACCATGTTATTATAATAACATTAATAATAAATGGCATTTCTCATAACGTAATTAAAGCGCAGTTTCTTGATTACATAAACGAAATTGCTCATTTCTGTCTTCAAAGACGTGAGATAAATTAGCAGTGTCTTGGAATTGGAAGCGCAGTGTGGCTGCCTCGTGGACGCATTGCTTTAATTAGATGTGTCCCGAGTGTTTATTGATGTGTTTGTGTGAATATGTGTGTGTATGAGCGTGTGTTTGTGTATGTCTGTGTGTGTCCGATTAAGCTCAGTTTTGTCCCGATCTCAAGCGCAGTTTTGTCCCGAACATCTGATAATTTGATAATGTTGAGATGTACGATACGCACTCGTCAGATTTACAAATATTTTTATTGTGTGGAAGAAGAGGAACAAGAAAAGGAAGAAAAAGAAGAAGAAGTCGAAGAAGACGGAGAAGAAGAAGAAGAAGTAGAAGAAGAAGAAGAAGAAGAAGAAGAAGAAGAAGAAGAAGAAGAAGAAGAAGAAGAAGAAGAAGAAGAAGAAGAAGAAGAAGAAGAAGAAGAAGAAGAAGAAGAAGAAGAAGAAGAAGAAGAAGAAGAAGAAGAAGAAGAAGAAAATGATGATGATGACGATGATGATGAAGAAGAAGAAGAAGAAGCAGAAAAAGAAGAAGAAGAAGAAGAAATGTAGAACTGATAAAGGAGATGAGGGACACTGAGAAGGAGAAGATAAAGATGAGGATGAGGTGGGGTAGAGGAGGCGGTGGTGGACAAAGAAGTAAACTAGTTAACAAATTAAACTAATTGTGATCAAGCCCACGGACACATGGTCTTCCAACGGTTAGGAACCTCTAACACACAGATGGAAGTCAGAAGCGGAAGATAACATTCCATTTCCGTTTCTCATGGCCAGGCAATGTGGCGATCTGGTCCAGAAACACTCCAACACAACTGTCACAGAGGGTATGCCACTGACCAAAGCTTTCAGCATTGTCCATCCTAGGATGGTCCTCACCATCGAGAACATTCGCAAGTTTATCAACGCCGTCTTTCTACTGGCCATGAAGCCAAGTGAGAATGGCAGAAAAACTTTCTTACTAAAAGGTAAGTCGGCTTAGGTCCTCTATTCACGAATGGCAGAATTTTCTTGCTGAAAGGTAAATCAGCTTAGGTCCTATATTCACGAATGGCAGAATTTTATTGTTTGAAAGGTAAGTCAGCCTAGGTCCTATATTCACGAATGGCAGAACTTTCTTGCTGGACGGTTAGTCAGCTTAGGTCCTCTATTCACGATTGGTGCAAAGAGAGTTCTCGTAACTTTTATACCATGGCCGGGAATCTCGCTGTGGACGAGATTTGAAACTCCTCCCGTAAGAAACTTTAATTACAGCAAGCAATCCCAGAGTTCAATAGGTGCCAAGCCAAGTCCTGGCAGATAAAGGTTTTTACTTCTTCTTCTTTCTCTTTCTTTCTTTCTTTTCTTTCTTTTTTTTTTTCGTTTGTTCTTTGTTTATTTTCTTTCTTTCTTTCTTTCTTTCTTTCTTTCTTTCTTTCTTTCTTTCTTTCTTTCTTTCTTTCTTTCTTTCTTTCTTTCTTTCTTTCTTTCTTTCTTTCTTTCTTTCTTTCTTTCTTTCTTTCTTTCTTTCTTTCTTTCTTTCTTTCTTTCTTTCTTTCTTTCTTTCTTTCTTTCTTTCTTTCTTTCTTTTTTCTTTCTTTCTTTCTTCTTCTTCTTCTTCTTCTTCTTCTTCTTCTTCTTCTTCTTCTTTTTCTTCTTCTTCTTCTTCTTCTTCTTCTTCTTCTTCTTCTTCTTCTTCTTCTTCTTCTTCTTCTTTCTTCTTCTTCTTCTTCTTCTTCTTCTTCTTCTTCTTCTTCTTCTTCTTCTTCTTCTTCTTCTTCTTCTTCTTCTTCTTCTTCTTCTTCTTCTTCTTCTTCTTCTTCTTCTTCTTCTTCTTTGTGTGTGTGTGAGCGCTTGCGTGCGTGCGTACGTGAGTGTGTGTGTGTGTTTTTTTTTAGATATATTTTATACACTATACACTATTCATATTCGTATTCGTATAATAGTGAAAATCACTATTCGGTACAGCCCTAGGTTTTCACCTTTAATCTGTCACGCATGGCTGCTCAATCCTGACACAAGACAATATGATTCTCCTTCCCCCAGAAAAGCTGATAAATCCCAGCTTACAAGGTAGCATTCTTGTCATCTTCTGATTCAAAATGTGCCTTTATTTGCTCGGTTGCCTACAAGCTTGCTTGCAAATTTATAAAGCAAATGTGCCGCACATTATTTTGAGAAAAAAAAAACCAATACACATTCATACAATCGTCCCAGGAAAATTTTATTGTATTTACCTCTACATAAAATCGAATATATATTGGTAGAGTAATATATTTTTTTACTCAGCCACGAATTAAAAATTGGAAGAGTTTTTCTAAGCACCTAATTTCAGTTTAACATTAAGACCCTTTTTTTTTAAATTCCGGACAACGCACTCTGCGTGACTGGGTGATTCGCATGTTTCATTCAACATTTGATGTATGTTTTTATATCTTTTGTTTAGTGGCTGACTCTGAAGAAGTCTCAAAACCTATTGGTTCCTACAAGTGTTGTATATTTGGCCCCTGTGGAAGTAGTATACCCATCAGTTTAGTACAGTAGAACCTCGCTTAACGAGCACCACTCATAACGAGTAATCCGCATAACCAGCAAAACAAATTGTAAAAGAATGACTTGCTTAACGAGCGACGTTTCGCATAACGAGTGGCCAGGAGAGGGGAAGTCCCGGATTGTGTGCATGTTACATCAGTATTTAGTACGCCTGGCTCTCTAGCGTAGTTGGCTAAATCAGATTGCGCGGAGACCGGGTGACGAACTCCTTGTGGTCCGGGTTCACTCCCGGGGGTAGGCAGAAAAGCCACATTTCTCCCAGATGTACGGTATTTACATTGGAATCAAGGCCGAAAGGTTTCGATATCCATAATACCGAGCCTAAGGGTTAACAACTCATGGCTTCTGGATACTAAAACAAACAAACAGTATTTAGTACTCGTTTCAATAGCATCGTAGTGTCACTTGTGATCACACATTCTTTCAGACTTGTGTTATATTGTGATTAATGTACATAAATCCTCCAGGCCTATAAGATGACCTCCCTGAAGAATTTAAGATCATCAAGATCCAGTTTCTGCCTCCCAACACCACTCCGTTACTCCAGCTCATGGACTAGCAAGTTATTTTTAACTTTAAGAAGCTCTACACTAAATCACTCTTCGAGCATTGTTTTCAGGTGACTGAAGGGGCCAACTTCACTCTCAAAGAGTTTTGGAAAAATCACTTCCACATCGTTGCCTGCCTCAAGATGATGGACAAGGCAGGGAAAGGGGTTACCAAGAGAACCCTAACTTCTGCTTGGAAGAAGCTTTGGCCGGAGAGTATTGTCGAATGTGACTCTGAAGAGTTCGGGACAGAACCTGTGGAACCAGTACTCAACGAGACTGTGTTTTTGGCCTTTAATATGGGATTGGAGGTGGATAACAGTGATATCGAAGAGCTTGTAGAAGAGCACAGCCAAAAGCAAACCACCGAAGAGCTTATGGAGTTGCATTGTGTTTCACAGCAAGAAGTTTTGGAGAAAAGTTTGTCAGAGGAGGAGGTAACAGAAAAGCAACAATTTTCTGGCGAAATTAGAGAAATGTTAAAAGCATGGGAAACTGTTGCATCTTACATTGAGAAGCATCACCCTAATAAGGAAGTGGCTATGCGAGCTGCAAATTTATTAAATGATTATGCTGTGTCGCATTTTCGTCAAATTTTGAAGAGTCGGCAAAAACAAATGTCTCTGGACATTTTTCTAGTTAAAAATAATTAGCTATATATTATAATTTTTTCGACTTTTTTTTTTCTCCTGCAAATCAAATTCGCATTTCGGTTGGGTTCGTTCTGCGGTGGAAGAAAAGATAATGATGATTCACTCTCACTTACCAATATGTATATAATTTTCTTTGAAAAAAAACGTTATACTTAATATTTTATGCGTATTTTTTTTCGACATGGAACGCATTATCGTATTTTACATTAAATTATATAAGAAAAATTATTTCGCACAACGAGTGTCGCTTTACAAGCATGATTCTGGAACAAATTATGCTCGTTAAGTGAGGTTCCACTGTATTGCCAATCTTAATTCCCTAGTACATTAGCTTGGACGTTAAGGGACTGAAAGAGTTGACGGTTGAATGTTGTTGAATTGAGAATCGACATCACAGCACTCAGGACACTCCCATAAGTGCTAGGTCACAATCTTCAGCAGCAAGCGAAAAGTTCAAATTCCGATGGTAACAATAATCGTCTGATTGTACATCCGTCTCATCCTTCCCCTGTGTTGTACGTTGGGGAGATCCCCTGGTAACTCCTCACGGCGCCGTTCTCCTTAGACAGTGATGATATCTATTTGCGCCTCAGCACTGTCCACTCGCTCCCAAAGGGCCCTTACAACATCTAACTTGTCATACATCAGTTTACCACAAAGTGGTGCAGAGCCAGCCAATCTATCTGCTTGCTCATTTCCTAACAAAGATTAAATATGAATAACTCTGTTCCGGTTTCAGGACAGATGATTTGGTTGGCGGACACCCAGCACATGATCTTCATTGGCTCGCCGCGACTGACTTCACTCAATGAGTTGTTGGAGATGAACGTCTACTTGGCCGACATCCCCCTGTATGATGTTACTAGGGAACTGGTGTTGCTTAACCAGCAACGGATTGCAGAGATCGACATTGCGTGAGTTATTCTTTTATCTATCTGTACACAATTACATAGTGGGCTCTGTATCTAAGTCGATGCGAACGCTTGGTAATGCCGGGATGCCAGGTTCCATCCCAGCTGCGGGCCATGGGACTTGCGTTGGTTTTGACAGTGGTATCAAGAAGCCGACCGTCCTGAAAGCAATGACAAACTACTGGACGTAAATTTGCCTAGAAAAACCACACAACAGCCAGAGACTGTTGGGGTTGGTTCTGCAACGTCCTGTAAAGGATACGCAACTAACTTAACCTAACACAATTACATACGGCAGCACCAATAAATGCATCACCAACATTAGCAACAGCTTGAAGAAAGACGACACAAACAACAGACTGCACAGTTTACTGCCTGGCATACTCCGCTAGATCTCGTCTGGTCTATACTACAGAAAACACATAAGACTCAGCAAAAAAATGAGTCCTTTACAACTGAGATACAAAAATCAACCACGCTAGGATGTGGTACAGAGAAATGTGCCAAGCAATAATTTTCCAATCTATTGATTGTCTTCTTTCTCAGATTTAGAGAATCACCTCTCTGATTAACGATATTTACTGCAGTATCACTACTATTATTTTAATATTAAAATTTTTTTTTAATGATCATTATTCTAATTACAGAACAACAAGAGTAATCATGCTGATAGTAACTTAGTCTGAAACAACAATACCTACAGAATAATAACACTCACATCAAATATTAATAATACCAATACAAATGACACTGATAACCGGGTGAGAGGAGTTTGACCACTGGTGATGGTTCTATACCTTGTAGTCAGCTACATTACCGTGCTCCCCTTGAAGGATCAGTTCCAACACCTTGGAGCGTATTGAACACAGTGTTCATTCGTGCACTGTCGTATTGAGCACATGTTCATTCGTGCACTGTCGTATTGAGCACACTGTTCATTCATTCACTGTCGTATTAAGCACACTGTTCATTCATGCACTGTCGTATTGAGCACACTGTTCATTCATTCACTGTCTTATTGAACACACTGTTCATTCATTCACTGTCGTATTGAAGACACTGTTCATTCATTCACTGTCGTATTGAAGACACTGTTCATTCATTCACTGTCGTATTGAAGACACTGTTCATTCATGCACTGTCGTATTAAGCACACTGTTCATTCATGCACTGTCGTATTGAGCACACTGTTCATTCATGCACTGTCGTATTGAGCACACTGTTCATTCATGCACTGTCGTATTAAGCACACTGTTCATTCATGCACTGTCGTATTGAGCACATGTTCATTCATGCACTGTCGTATTGAGCACACTGTTCATTCCTTCACTGTCGTATTGAGCACACTGTTCATTCATTCACTGTCGTATTGAGCACACTGTTCATTCGTTCACTGTCGTATTGAGCACACTGTTCATTCATTCACTGTCGTATTGAGCACATGTTCATTCGTTCTCTGTCGTATTGAGCACACTGTTCGTTCACTGTTCGTATTCATTCACTGTCGTATTGAGCACATGTTCATTCGTTCACTGTCGTATTGAGCACACTGTTCATTCATTCACTGTCGTATTGAGCACATGTTCATTCATTCACTGTCGTATTGAGCACACTGTTCATTCATTCACTGTCGTATTGAGCACATGTTCATTCATTCACTGTCGTATTGAGCACACTGTTCATTCATTCACTGTCGTATTGAGCACACTGTTCATTCATTCACTGTCGTATTGAGCACACTGTTCATTCATTCACTGTCGTATTGAGCACACTGTTCATTCATTCACTGTCGTATTGAGCACACTGTTCATCATTCACTGTCGTATTGAGCACACTGTTCATTCATTCACTGTCGTATTGAGCACACTGTTCATTCATTCACTGTCGTATTGAGCACACTGTTCATTCATTCACTGTCGTATTGAGCACACTGTTCATTCATTCACTGTCGTATTGAGCACACTGTTCATTCATTCACTGTCGTATTGAGCACACTGTTCATTCATTCACTGTCGTATTGAGCACACTGTTCATTCATTCATTCATTCACTGTCGTATTGAGCACACTGTTCATTCATTCACTGTCGTATTGAGCACATGTTCATTCATTCACTGTCGTATTGAGCACACTGTTCATTTCATTCACTCATCGTCGTTGAGCACACTGTTCATTCATTCACTGTCGTATTGAGAGCACACTGTGTTCATTCATTCACTGTCGTATTGACACACTGTTTCATTCATTCACTGTCGTATTGAGCACACTGTTCATTCATTCACTGTCGTATTGAAGACACTGTTCATTCATTCACTGTCGTATTGAAGACACTGTTCATTCATGCACTGTCGTATTAAGCACACTGTTCATTCATGCACTGTCGTATTGAGCACACTGTTCATTCATGCACTGTCGTATTGAGCACACTGTTCATTCATGCACTGTCGTATTGAGCACACTGTTCATTCATTCACTGTCGTATTGAGCACACTGTTCATTCATTCACTGTCGTATTGAGCACACTGTTCATTCATTCACTGTCGTATTGAGCACACTGTTCATTCATTCACTGTCGTATTGAGCACACTGTTCATTCATTCACTGTCGCACACTGTTATTTGAGCACACTGTTCATTCATTCACTGTCGTATTGCACACTGTTCATTCATTCACTGTCGTCATTCTGTTCATTCACTGTCGTCGTATTGAGCACACTGTTCATTCATTCACTGTCGTATTGAGCACACTGTTCATTCATTCATGTCGTATTCACTGTTTCGTCACTGTCGTATTGAGCACACTGTTCATTCATTCACTGTCGTATTGAGCACACTGTTCATTCATTCACTGTCGTATTGAGCACACTGTTCATTCACACTGTCGTATTGAGCACATGTTCATTCACTGTCGTATTGAGCACACTGTTCATTCATTCACTGTCGTATTGAGCACACTGTTCATTCATTCACTGTCGTATTGAGCACACTGTTCATTCATTCACTGTCGTATTGAGCACACTGTTCATTCATTCACTGTCGTATTGAACACACGGTTCATTCATTCACTGTCGTATTGAGCACACTGTTCATTCATTCACTGTCGTATTGAGTTCATTCACACTGTGTTGAGCACATTCATTCACTGTCGTATTGAGCACACTGTTCATTCATTCACTGTCGTATTGAGCACACTGTTCATTCATTCACTGTCGTATTGAGCACACTGTTCATTCATTCACTGTCGTATTGAGTTCATTCACACTGTCGTATTGTTCATTCATTCACTGTCGTATTTGAGCACACTGTTCATTCATTCACTGTCGTATTGAGCACACTGTTCATTCATTCACTGTCGTATTGAGCACACTGTTCATTCATTCACTGTCGTATTGAGCACACTGTTCATTCGTTCACTGTCGTATTGAGCACACTGTTCATTCATTCACTGTCGTATTGAGCACACTGTTCATTCATTCACTGTCGTATTGAGCACACTGTTCATTCATTCACTGTCGTATTGAGCACACTGTTCATTCATTCACTGTCGTATTGAGCACACTGTTCATTCATTCACTGTCGTATTGAGCACACTGTTCATTCATTCACTGTCGTATTGTTCATTCATTCACTGTCGTATTGAGCACACTGTTCATTCATTCACTGTCGTATTGAGCACACTGTTCATTCATTCACTGTCGTATTGAGCACACTGTTCATTCATTCACTGTCGTATTGAGCACACTGTTCATTCATTCACTGTCGTATTGAGCACACTGTTCATTCATTCACTGTCGTATTGAGCACACTGTTCATTCATTCACTGTCGTATTGAGCACACATTCACTGTCGTATTGAGCACACTGTTCATTCATTCACTGTCGTATTGAGCACACTGTTCATTCATTCACTGTCGTATTGAGCACACTGTTCATTCATTCACTGTCGTATTGAGCACACTGTTCATTCATTCACTGTCGTATTGAGCACACTGTTCATTCATTCACTGTCGTATTGAGCACACTGTTCATTCATTCACTGTCGTATTGAGCACACTGTTCATTCATTCACTGTCGTATTGAGCACACTGTTCATTCATTCACTGTCGTATTGAGCACACTGTTCATTCATTCACTGTCGTATTGAGCACACTGTTCATTCATTCACTGTCGTATTGAGCACACTGTTCATATTCATTCACTGTCGTATTGAGCACACTGTTCATTCATTCACTGTCGTATTGAGCACACTGTTCATTCATTCACTGTCGTATTGAGCACACTGTTCATTCGTTCACTGTCGTATTGAGCACACTGTTCATTCGTTCACTGTCGTATTGAGCACACTGTTCATTCATTCACTGTCGTATTGAGCACACTCTTCATTCGTTCACTGTCGTATTGAGCACACTGTTCATTCGTTCACTGTCGTATTGAGCACATGTTCATTCATTCACTGTCGTATATAGCACACTGTTCATTCATGCACTGTCGTATTGAGCACACTGTTCATTCATTCACTGTCGTATTGAGCACACTGTTCATTCATTCACTGTCGTATTGAGCACACTCTTCATTCGTTCACTGTCGTATTGAGCACACTGTTCATTCGTTCACTGTCGTATTGAGCACATGTTCATTCATTCACTGTCGTATTGAGCACGCTGTTCATTCATTCACTGTCGTATTGAGCACACTCTTCATTCGTTCATTGTTGTATTGAGCACACTCTTCATTCGTTCACTGTCGTATTGAGCACACTGTTCATTCATTCACTGTCGTATTGAGCACACTCTTCATTCGTTCACTGTCGTATTGAGCACACTGTTCATTCATTCACTGTCGTATTGAGCACACTCTTCATTCGTTCACTGTCGTATTGAGCACACTCTTCATTCGTTCACTGTCGTATTGAGCACACTGTTCATTCATTCACTGTCGTATTGAGCACACTGTTCATTCGTTCACTGTCGTATTGAGCACACTCTTCATTCGTTCACTGTCGTATTGAGCACACTGTTCATTCCTCCACTGTCGAATTGAGCACACTGTTCATTCATTCACTGTCGTATTGAGCACACTGTTCATTCATTCACTGTCGTATTGAGCACACTGTTCATTCATTCACTGTCGTATTGAGCACGCTGTTCATTCGTTCACTGTCCTGATGTGACGTTATCTGTCCCATTCTGTGGCAGTCTGTTCCTCTATTCAGTTCTGTCCTGTGGAGTCTCTTCGATATCATGGATGCAATCCGGTCCAGCACCTTTGACCTCTCTCATTCGGTTCGTTTTTGTGTTTGGTTTGGATGCTCTGACTTCCTTAATCCCTTTAATTCCAGTTTTAGTGCATGTCTGATTCTTTGCTCGTTTCTTCTCAATATGTATTCAGTACAGCCTGTCTTTATGTTTAATTTTTGGCACTTCTGTCTGACTGACTGAATTTCTACCCCACCAGGACATCACACAAGCGATAAAAACCCGATGACACAAAGTGCCACCATGCGGATGAGGATCACCGTGGAGAGGTCCCAGAAACCGCGTTCAGACATTTGGCCATAATGATGACCTGCCTATATTGCGGCCCCTGGCAAAAGCCAGAGTGGGGCTTCAAATAACAAAAAATTACGTCCTAAGAAGGACGTAAGGGTCGTGGATGTTTTTCTGTGACTGACTGACTGACTTTCTACCCCACCAGGACATCACACAAGCGACAAACACCCGATGACACAAAGTGCCACCATGCGGATGAGGATCACCGTGGAGAGGTCCCAGAAACCGCGTTCAGACATTTGGCCATAATAATGACCTGACTATATTGCGGCCCCTGGCAAAAGCCAGAGTGGGGCTTCTAATAACAAAAAATTACGTCCTAAGAAGGACGCAAACGATGATCT